TCAAGTTCATTTTTATGTGTTAAAGTCAAAATACATGTTAATTCAGCATATGGAGGCAAATAGAAAGAATGCTGAACAAAACCAAAACAGATTAATCCATGATTGCAAAACTAACAAAGGGCAAAATATTTACCGAATATATAACAATACAAAATGATAAAAAGAATAAACAAAACAGATTAGGAGTCACATGAAAAAATTCTATAATTTCTCCAAGCAAAGTGTGGAGCCTGGTCCCTCCCCCAGGGATCAGCCTCTCCTCTGATTGACCAGTTCCCCAGTGACCACTACCCGTGTGTCGCTTGGATGTCAGACAATGGAGTTGAAAATGGTTCATGTGATGGATCACATCGTCCCCCGAGACGGAATTTCAGCTCCTTAGGACGTCCTCCCCACGTGAAAGGCTCTATACAAATGTAATTTGTTGTTATTGTTGGATGCGGCCCGTGGGCCACCAGTTGGACCACCTGGCCTAGATTATAGGTTTAAAGTCCTGACCTGGGCTTGGTGTGATGTAAATAGATCTAGTGGGGAGATATCACTGTACTGACATGATAGGCCAAATGGCCTCCTACGCTATAATCTTTCCATGATCTATAAACTGCTTAGTCCCTCTCATTTGTGAGACACACAAAACACATCCACAAAATACACTGTAAAACCTGTACTTTATAGTATTCCTGTGAAGGGCTTCAAGTGTCCACTTGAAATGAAAGGCGCTATACCTAATATAAGGATTATTTTTAAAGGATTATTATTAAATCTGCGTTCAATGCCAAAACCAAGATTTCTGTGTATATAACAGTGTATATATAGTTTAATACAATTCAATAACTAGAAGATTATTAATAGAATTTTCATATATTTATAATAAAGATGATAAGAGTGAAAGGTATTTAGTTTGTCCTGTCACTGCATGAAGTGCCTTCAAATCTGTACTCTTGGGAAATCACGTTGATATTCCATGAATGTGGACCCGTTCCCTCATCCATGCTTTCATCATATTTAGGCTTGACTACACGAACTCCCTGCTCATCAGAATTCCCAACTCTTCCCTCCATAGACTGCAAATTATTCAGAACTCCGCAACTCATGCCTTCTCCCACACCCCCATTCTCGCCTGGCTCCTCATCTCCCAGGGGATTGAGATTAAGATCCTCATCCTGTACTTTCAAATCCCTTCACAGTCTTGCTCCTCCCTACCTCTGTGACCTATGAACACCATACCAGCCTTCCCACTCCCTTCACTTGGTGGCAACAGCCTGCTCCATGTCCCCCACACTGCCCGCCCCACCTTCTGCCTTTCTGTCATTGGAACTCCATTCAGGAAACCCTTTGCCTTGCCCTTTCCCTTGCCTCCTTCAAGGCCCGTCTCAAGACCTTCCTCTTTGACTGTACCAGCGTCTTGGGACATCTTTCCAATGTGACAGTGTAATTTGTTGTTGTTCTTGTCCTGCTGATGAGAAAGGTGCTGTACAGATGTAATTTGTTTGTTGTTGTGCTTCGGATAACCTCCCACCCGAACACCCTTGATCCCACTCCTCTTGATTCCAACCCCCAGCTCGGCTGCAAACTCTAGACTGTCCAGCGCCTTGGGATGTCATCCTGACGTGAAAGACGCTGTATAAATGCTACTGAAACCGAGAGCAAGTATTTATTGAACAACACAATGCAAATGCATTCTTACAATTCAAATTGCCACAAAGAGTAAGCGACTACTATATAAACAAAGCAGTAAACGAACACTACTATATAAATATGTAAACAAAGCAGATCAAGTCTTGTCAATATAAATGACACAGTAGTGTCAAAATGCAAACCTTGTACTTTACTGAAAATAAACATAACTAGACTTCAGTTCTGTACTTGCTGCTTAGACACAGCAGGTATGAATGTGCAAATGGTAAGTGGTTCTCATTTGTCATAGAGCTATAAATATGAAGCAGCCTTGTGACAAAAAAAATGAAATACAATACTTTTAGAGTTGAGAGCACATACATTCCAGGGAGAAGGTTCTGCCTCAGGTGCTGACAGTATCACTATTCATTGAGCCAATACGGAACCTTGGTGTCCTATTTGACCCTCAGCTATCCTTCAAACCCCATATTCATGACATGACCCGTTCCACCTTTCCACACCTCCACAACGTTGTCCACTTCAGCCATTGCCTCTCACCGCAGGCCACCGAGACCCTTAATTATGCTTTCATCACATCCAGGCTTGACCACGCCAACTGCCTGCTCACTGGACTTCCAAACTCTTCCCTCCACAAGCTGTAGATTATTCAGAACTCTGCAGCTTGTGTCTAATTGCCTGTCACACATCATCTTGATTGAGTTCTAACTTCCTCCAGTTAAATGTCGACAAGACAGAGGCTTTCCTGCGTGGTTCCCATCAGCACCTTCTTGACAGCATCAACTTGCAGGGATGCTCACTCCACCTTGTAGAGCCAGTACAGAACCTCAGTGCCTTGTTTGACTCCCGCCAAGACTGTCATCCTTGCATTTATCATGTGCAGACTTGACAAGGCTCTGCTTGCTGGACTAAATAGCTCTTCTCCACACAAACTGCAGATCTACCAGAACTCTGCAGCTTGTGTCCTTTCCCTCACCAAGCTCCGTGAGACTATCACCCCATCCGCACCCAGCTCCATTGGCTCCCCATTTCCCAGCGGATCAAGTTCATGATCCTCGTTCTCACCTTTAAATCCTTCTCCTCGTCTCGCCCACCCTCTCTCTGCAACCTTCTCAAACCCTACTGATCCAACCACCCCCTTTGGTCATCGAGTACTGGCCTGCGTCATGCCAACTGGAGCTCCATCCCACAATCTCTTCGACTTGCTCCCTCCTTCAACTATTTTAAGATCTGTCTTAAGACTTGCCGGCAGGGCAAAATGTTGGGCATTTTTTCTTACTTCACACTCTGTTTACCTAGCAGTGAGGAGGAACCCGATCTTTAGTCAATTGACAGATCGCTTTTCCAGGAATGATAATTCCTTCAAACAAAAATAAAAAAATTGGTCACTTCAATCCATGACTGTTTGTGGGATACTGTGAGCAATTGGCTGCTGTGTTTCGCCCCCAAAATATACATTCAATTCACTTTATAGTATATTCTGTGAAGTGCTTTGAGACGTCTCGAAGACGTGATAAGGTGCTATATCAAATGCAAGCATATTATTTTTACCTCTTTGACCTTGTTTAAGGTCATCTTTCCCTTCCCTACCCTACTCAGCTCCCACCTCCAGCTCAGGTGCCAAGCCATTATTGTTAACTGCCTTGGGTCATTCTCCTGACATAAAGGTCGCTATATAAATGTAAATTTGTGTAGTTTTGTATTGTAAACCTCTCGTGATCTTGCACACCATTTTCCCTGCCACTGCAAGTCAAATATCCTATCTATTAGATTTAATGCATCAAACGTCTGAGCCACGGTTCTCACTTACGTTAGCCATTAGAGTGATGTCCTTATCTCTGTTGAATCATCGATGGGAACTCACCCAAGCACACAAAGCTAATTAAAGCATCTACTGCAGGGACAAGGGAGACAAGGAAAAGTTTATGGAAAGTATTACTAAGCCATTAACAGAACAACAACTGGGAGAGAGAGGGCTTCAAGTCACCTGCTTGCTGGAGAGAAGATGGGGGAGAAGAGAAAAACATAGTATAGTGGTGTGTTTTTGAGAAAATACGACGTTAAAAAACAGAAATACTGTTGATTTGATGGAGAATCATATCCAAGACATTTACTTATCGTTCACTTTGACTCACAGATTAACCTCCTGTTCATTTTCAGGTTTTTTTATACTTTGGATTTTCAACACGAACCTTTTTTTTAAAAAAAAACCTTATTCTCACCTAAAATAAACATCTCTCGAGCCTACCCTCTCGGGTAAACATCTTGGAGCCAACCAATAGTTACGCAAAATATGTCCAGTTTGCCTACAAAATAAGTCACTACACTCAATAGTTAAATCCTGTGAAAGCGCTTTGAGATGTAGTCCTCTCGTGAGAGACACTGTAAAGCGCTCTGGGGCGCTAACCCGGTGAGGGGCGTTATATAAATGCAAGCGGTTGTTGTTACACCAAAAACGTAAGGATTATTCTGGTTTGGCCGCTGCAAACAACCCCTAAACAAAGCAACATGTTTCCGCCCATCCACCTCCCAATTAAAAATTAAGGCAAGCGAAACAAAACTTGCTCACTTCAGCCTTGGAGGAGGGGGAGGAGGAGGAGGAGGTGGAGGGGAAGAAGGAAAGGAGAAAGCGAGAGGGGGAGAAAGAAAAAGAGAAAAAAAAGTTTTTTAAAAATAAATAAAAATAAATAAATAAATAAATTAATATAAAGGAGAGAAAAAAATAAAAACTTTGCAAACGATTTCTCTGGTCTTTTTGAGGAGCAACTGGTGGGTGGGGAGTGGGGAGTGGGGGGTGGGTGGGGGGGTGGGGGTGAGCAGCTTAGCCAGTCTGAGACCTGGCAAAGGAGGGAGGGGAAGGGGAGGGGGAGAAGGGGAGGTGTGAGAGAGAGAGAGAGAGAGAGAGAGAGGAGGGAAGCAATGGAAAGCAATGCAATGCAATGCAATCCACAGCGTAACCTTTCCCCCACTTTGCAGAGGGAGTTCAGTCGGTTCGCTCTGACACCGGTGACTCGGCGTCCCCCACGAGGACGTGATCCAGCGCTGGGGCTGAGGCTGAGCTGCGGGGAGGGGTGTGGGGGGGGGGTGTCCTGGGCCGGGCCGGGTCAGGGGGGGGGGGGGCGGGGGCTCCGGCGGCCGCCGCCGAATCACGAGGCCGCGGGAGCGGGGCCCACGCCGAGCCCCAGCCCCTGATCACGAGCTCACTCGCCCACCATTGGCCTCCGCTCGCCACACCTTTGTCACGCATTGGACCGACACACCAACCCCCCCCCACCACACACACACACACACACACACCCCACACACTACCCCCCCCCCCCCCCCGACACACACCGCCCCCACACCCCCACCCGCCCACCAGCTGTAATGCATTTTGATGCGTGTGTGAGTGAGAGAGAGAGAGTGTGTGAGAGAGAGAGAGAGAGAGTGTGAGAGACTCGCGGTGGCAAATGCGGCCGTTAATTGCCGCTCTGTGTGTTGTTGTTGTTGTTGTGTGATGTCCGTCCTGACCGCCGCCCGAGATCAGCGCCGCCGAGGGTGAGGTCTCTCACCCACTCACAGCACAACACTTTCGTATTGTTTTCGCCTTCATCATCATCATCATCACCACACCCGCCGGGTCCCCCCCACCCTCTCCTCTCCCCCCTCTCTCCCCCCCCAATATGCGCTGCCGTTCCCCCTGTCAGGCTGCGGAGATGGAGGAGAGCCGGAACGTGAGTATCTGCCCAACCGACTTCACATTGCTGACCAGGCGCTGCCCAGACGGGCACTGGGGTGGGAGGGGGTGGGGGGGGTGTCAATGCTGCTGCTGCTGTTGTTGTTGAGGCTGGTGGGGGTGAGGAGGGGGTGATGGGGGGGTTCGTGCCCGGCGTTGCTGAGCTGTTGGTGTGTCCCATGTTGGAGGGGGTGATGGGGTGGGGTAGGGAGGGGGTGATGGGGTGGGTAGGGAGGGGGTGATGGGGTGGGGGGTGATGGGGTGGGGTAGGGAGGGGGTGATGGGGGGGGGAGGGAGGGGGTGATGGGGTGGGAGGGTGGTGGGGAGGGGGGTTCGTGCCCGGCGTTGCTGAGCTGTTGGTGTGTCCCATGTTGGTGGGGGGAGGGGGGGTTCGTGCCCGGCGTTGCTGAGCTGTTGGTGTGTCCCATGTTGGAGGGGTGATGGGGAGGGGGTGATGGGGGGGTTCGTGCCCGGCGTTGCTGAGCTGTTGGTGTGTCCCATGTTGGAGGGGGTGATGGGAGGGGGTGATGGGGGGTTCGTGTCCGGCGTTGCTGAGCTGTTGGTGTGTCCCATGTTGGAGGGGGTGATGGGGAGGGGGTGATGGGGGGTTCGTGTCCGGCGTTGCTGAGCTGTTGGTGTGTCCCATGTTGGAGGGGGTGATGGGGAGGGGGTGATGGGGGGTTCGTGTCCGGCGTTGCTGAGCTGTTGGTGTGTCCCATGTTGGAGGCTTCATTCCCGGGTGTGTGACTGCGCCTCTCACAGGGGTTTGGGGAGAGGTCACGAATGGGAACAAAGAGGGTGAGAGAGAGAGACTCGGGGTCTGTGTGGGCTGCACTGGGGGGTATTCGGTCCAAACGGTGGCAAACTGCCTCCCAAGTGGGAACCGTCTCCCTGTTTGTTTGTTTTTCTATCCCGGTTTAGGAGGGGGGGGTCGGGGGTCTCTATGGAGAAAACCAGAATGAATGAAGCATTTGTTTCTGTTGCTAAAAGTTCGAAATAATGGCACAGAGATCTCATGGCACTGTTTGAAAAGGGAATGGAATGGAGTTTCTCTCTCTCTCTCTTCCCTCCCACCACCACCACCGTGTCCTGACCAACACCCCCAACCCCACCCCTCTCCCCACCCCCCCAAATAAAATTGGTTGGTCAACTCGATCCGTGGCCGTTTGTGGGGTATTGCTCTGTGCAAATTGGCCGCCACGTTCGCCCGCTTTACACAAGTCGATCCACTTCACAGTGTATTCTGTGAAGCGCGTTGAGACGTCTCAATGATGTGATAAGGCCCCCTCCCCCGAGCCTGACCCCAGCTCCGGTCTGAAATGCTGTACTCTGTCCAGCGCCTTGGGACGTCCTCCCGACGTGAAAGGCGCTATACAAATGTAATCTTGTTGTTGTTGTTGTGAGGCACTATACCAAATACAAAACGTTATCATCATCAACAAATAATAGCAGTAGTAATAATTGTGCGTGTGGCGTATCAACAGATTGAATTTTAAAAAAACGAAACGTTTCCCACTGGGTCCATGCAGACCGTGGTGGATCGGAATGATTCCAAGCAACGCCGAATTTCATATTAACCCAAATAAATGGTTGAGTTTTGTTTTGTTGGACAAAGAGCTGGTGGAGGAGGCGACTTCCTGGTAGCAGCTCAGTAGACATGCACGCAGACTTCACATGGCTGCTTAACGTGTGACGTAAACCGGAGTCTATATTTGGAGTAGGGGGCGTTCTGGTTCAGTGAACCAAGTGACCCAGTGCAGAGTTTCGCCCATTGTTTCAGACCCAAAGCACCAGACAATCACACCCACGCTATTAACCCTGTCGTAACAGAAACGTTGCAGATAGTTTCCTGCTAAGATTTTCAAGCATCTGGGGAAATATAACCAGTAGCCTGATGGCCTTTTGAAGATGTTTCTCTTCTCGACCATGCCTACAGTCATCTCCCCTCTGGCTGGATGTTAGGCTCCGCCATCGTTAAGTGCTCAAAAATGCTCCCCCACACGAAGCACCCAATATAATTGCAAGTTTTTATTCTTGATTGAATGATGAAGTATTTTACTGTTATGCAAGGTTATTTACCTATTTTTTTTCTTTCTACTTGCAATTTGTGCTCAAACTTATATTTATAGATGGCGTGTACATTTAACAACCTAACCCTTTTCTTGATTCTCCCCTTTCCAATAATCAGAGTAAAGGCTTTTGTTTAGTCTGACGCATGTGTTAACTCATCACCATGCTTAAAGAGTATCTAAACCAGACTGTAGGTCCCATACATTATCACCTACGTATGGAAATCTCCGTATCTAGAAAGGATTGTGCACTCTTACTGGAGGAACACACCCTGCTTACCTAATTCCAGAGAATATTAGGTTTAGGTAGGCAACGGCCTTGGCGCTGGGGAACTGCTGGAGTCTAATCAGTTAAAATGTATGGCTTACCTTACTCTTGAGAGCAAGGTTTACACTGGGACAACACTTAACCATTAGGGGTTTGGTTTACAGGGTTAACAAGCTCAGCAGGAGCCCTCATGTGCTTGAAAAGAATATAAGTGCATCGCTGATGGCAGGAGATGGTATTGCACTCCTTCTGACGTCAAAGATACATCATCAACATCGGATGCAAGTGCAGGGATATTAATATAGTAATCCTTGTACCTTGTCCCATTGTTGAAATGTTTCAAAAGAGCTTCACAGGATTAATGCCTGCATTTAATCTGTCCTGCCTGCCTTTCACCTCATGACTGTTTGGAATCGTGCTTTTACAAATAACAGCCTCAATTATGTGCAAAAAGCAGTCCTGTCACAGCACCTTGGGACGTCCTTCTGATTTGAAAGGCGCTTTACAAATATAATTAGTTGTCGGTTGCATTTGATATAGTGCCTTATCACGTCGTTGAGACGTCTCAAAGCGCTTCAGAGAATATACTGTAAAGACTGTATATTTCCGAGGGCGAAATTGATATTTGTAATTAAGTTGAAATGTCTTTGGTCCAACAGGTTGAAATCATGGGCATTTACGAGTCAATACTTGAAAGAAAGCGTCATGACAGTGAAAGATCCTCCAGCAGTATATTGGAACAGAACGACATTGAAGCAGTGGAGACACTTGTTTGTATGAGTTCCTGGGGTCAGAGGACACAGAAAGGGGAACCATTAAAAATCCGACCGCTTACACCTGCTTCTGACACCGATTCCATACTTGGTGAATCTGCTTCGATGTTGCCAAAAGACTACAACTCATTTTCTTTGCTTGTAAGTACAGTTGATTCTTAAGAATTCTACTGACTTGTTATCATGTGGTCAAAAGTCCTAACCATTCCCAGTACTTTTAAAAGTAGTTAAAGAAGACAGCTGTAATTGTAACTGGAAGTGCTGATGTAATGCATCTGTGAGCAATTATTTATATTGGGGCTAATAAATCAGTGAGATAAAATGTCCACGCACAGTCAGAGAAATGAAGGGATAAGTTTATCTCAGTTGTGAGTCCATGCCCCACACTGGGACTTGAGCTCGTAGTTATAGCTTGAGGGAGTATGGTTGGAATGCTGCATTGCATTCTTCGGGACGAGTCTTTACAACAAGATACTGTATGCCTTTTCAAATGGATGTGGACGATCCCATGATACTTTCCTGCCTCAAGAGTGTTGGGACCTTGCTTTTACAAATGACTGCCACCATTATACGCAAAAAAGCAGTCCTGTCACTTAACAGTAATTCTCTGGGAAACAATTGAAGACATTTCGAGCCTATAAAGTGCTATAAAATTACAAATTGTTTCCTTTCTTTAAAAATGATTAACTTTATAATAATCCTTGCGTTTGATGATAGTAATCGTTGCCCTTTAATGCAATTTAAGAGTGTACATGATGCTTTAATAATAATAATAATTCTTGTATTTTCTTCTTTACAGTGTATGACCCCACCACACAGTCCCGGTTTTGCTGAACCTACAAGTGTCGTTGCCCCAGTGCCAGCACTTACTCAGACAAACCCATCAATAGTCACCATGAACACTGCTATCTGCTCAACGACTTCAGTCAACACTGCACACGCTAAACCCGCTGTACTGGATATGCCGTTACCCTTGTGTCAGAAGCCCCCTTTGTGCAAACAAACTGTTTCACATCACTGCAGATCTGTGGCAACCAGTGTCATCCGTCACACTGCTGATAACTCCCCTTGCAGCCACATTCCTTCACTGCCACAGACTGAGAGACTGTATTTAAATAGCAAAGAGCTGAGGACGGAGGTGCACAGGAAGGTGTTGGAGCAGTCTAAGTGTACCCAGGGTACTTGTACGTCAAGCATACATTGTTTGCAGCAGCGTTTTCCCGGCCCATTTACCAGGGACCAGCAACCAGCAGTGTCTTCTTCCTCACTGCCATGCGCAGTGTACAAACCTGAAACAGAAAGACGCAACCTCATCAGGCCATTACCAGCACACTTCCCGCCTGTTCCATTTGCAAAATCTCCAGTTATCTGTCAGATGTTTCCAATCAATGGAGGCAGAGGAGGAGGGAGAGGAGGAGGAGGAGGTATCATTTCAGCATTCATCCCAACAAGTAACCACAGTGGCAAACCTACATTTACCCAGACCTCTCCAGTTTCTCAGCCTGTCCTCGTAGGAACATCCGTGCCACAAGGAACTGTGATGCTTGTTCTGCCACCAGCTTCTGTCACACAACCGTCAACAAGTCAACAGAGCGTGATGAATGTGGGCAATACAAAATTACTGCCACTTGCCCCGGCTCCTGTTTTTATCACCTCCGGCCAAAACTGTGCACCACAGCTGGACTTCTCAAGAAGGCGTAATTACATTTGCAGCTTTACTGGGTGCAGGAAGACCTACTTCAAGAGCTCTCACCTCAAAGCACATCTCCGAACGCACACAGGTATAACTTAAGCTGAAGCACAAGGATACATTCTGGTATAATAAGATGTAGATCTTTCTTTGCACCGCTTTTCATTGAGTGCATCACTCGAGACTCCACCGTGTGAAGGACGCTATTAAATGCAAGTTATTGTTGTTGCACTGCCACTGGCCTGTGACTTAATACGTTCATTTTTGGGGGATGCGAAAGTTCTCAGCTTCATTACTTTTTATGCTGTGACAAAATATTTTAAACAAACCAGATCAATTGCTAGCGATGATTATGGATGGGGACTTTGAACAATTTACACCCACACAAAAATCGATTCACTGCTACACTTCTGCAGTTTATCTGTGCGTTTTTATTTAATCGTCGTCGGGGATAGAATGATGAACCGCTAACCTGTTCCTATCTTCGCAGGTGAAAAACCTTTCAGCTGTAACTGGGACGGCTGTGACAAAAAGTTTGCCCGTTCGGATGAGCTGTCCCGACACCGCAGGACTCACACGGGGGAGAAGAAGTTCATGTGTCCCATTTGCGATCGACGATTCATGCGCAGCGACCACCTGACGAAACATGCTCGACGTCACTTGACCTCAAAGAAAGTGCCCAACTGGCAGGCTGAGGTTAACAAACTGAACAAAATTGCCACCTCAGCACCTTCCAGCAGGAATCCTCTCGTCCCGATGAGTGTTTTTATTCCTCCACCAGCCTCTGCCTGAGTACAATACTTATAGAGAAAATTTGCACTGTGTCGTTGGAAAGTTGAAACTGAAGCAGAGTGTCAGCGGGATCTGAAGGAGTGGCTGTTTGACGGATGATTTCTGAAGCTGTTCTAAATGCTGCATGTTTTTACCAGATTTTCTTCAATATGAGTTCATTTTTCTATGCAGTAATGTATTATTGAGTAGTATTATGTAATCATGGCTAACCATGCAAAATCTGGAAAGCACAGAGTGGAATTCGGCTTTCGTTCATAGTGGACGGTAATGATGACGTGTGTGTGTGTTTGCGCGCGTGTGTGTGAAGTGGGTTTCCGTCAGTGTTAAGCCTGGAAACTTATCCACTTTGTAAACATTTAAATGTCTTTAAATACTATTTGCTATGCACATTGATTGTATACATCATTTATTTAATAAAACAATTTTCATGTAAAACTGATTCACAACATACTGTATTGAGTATTTTCTAATGCACAAGTAAGCATTAAATTGCGTTGGCGAGTGAAAATGACATTTGGAAAGTTTAAAAACTTGTTTTAATTTCAACCTTTCGCCCATAAAAATATACAGTCAACTCCCTTTACAGTATATTCTGTGAAGCACTTTGAGACGTCTTGAAGATGTGGTATGGTGCTATATCAAATGCAAGAATTATTATATAACTTGCTGAAATCCATCATTAATAGGCTAAGGATTAAAATGACTAAATTCTGCATAACCAACATGTTTGCACTCTATATTTAATGAAGCCCAGTAGAATGAAATTATCGTTCCAATTTTGATATAATCGAGTATTAGGTAGATTCGTAAAATGTTTACAAACCAGAAAGAGGACATTTGTCCTTTGTAACTGGTGCTCATTCCTCCACTGGAGTGATCTACTCTTAATGTTATTGCTCTGTTTATACGCTTCAAGTATTTAATACTGTGATGAATGAGGCTTCAATGGCTATAAGCCGTCAGCCTGGCCCAGTTGGTATCACTCTTGCCTCCCAAGTCAGAAAGTTGTGAGTTTAAACCCTATTTGGGACAGTCTTGCTGGAGGTGCGCTGCACTGTTGGATGAGACATCCTGGCCAACAACCCCACCTAATAAAATTGGGTCATTCACTTTATGGCTGTTTGTGGGACATTCTTGTGCGCAAATTGGCTAGTGCATTTGCCTACAAAATACAGTTACTACACTCAATAGTAAATCCTGTGAAGTGCTTTGAGACATCTTAATGATGCAATATATCAAATGAAAGGATTATTACAAGTAACTTCTAACCTCCCCTTTTTTCTTGTAATAATTCTCAATTCATGTCCTCCTGTTACTGACTCGATCTGCAGAATTGGTCTTTCTTAATTTCTCTATTGTGTGTGTGTGGGGGGGGTCTACCTCTTATATATCTGGATAATTCTTATTGAATGCTTTATGAATTTCTACATTCAAACTGCTCTTTAGATTCCAAAATAGTGTACATTTCATGTTTCACTTTGGGAGATGGATGACAATGATCTGAACAAAATAGATCTCTTCTTTAAAAAGATAACTTTGAAGAGAATGCTGTCAGGATTTGCTGTTTGAACACAGGGTTCCCAGGTAGCTTTGGCAAGTTTGTTAACAGATGACTAATCTACCTTCCTTGGGAGGGGAAGTAAGTGGAATTGTCATGGTACCGAATTGGCTTCAAGGTAATGGAATGGTAATGGAATGTCGGAATCAAGTAAACTCTCCCTTGAGTTTTTTGGGGTCCCAGGATCCCATATGGTAATGGTGCTCCCAAAATTCCAGGGTTGCAAGCACTGCTCCCAGTGTCATTGGCCAACAATCCTCCAGATAAAACTGATCATTCACTTCATAGCCGTTTGAAGGATATTGCGGTGTACAAATCGTCTGCCCTACCTCCTGATGTGAAAGGCACTAAATCAAATTTAAGTTACTGTTATTTTGTAAGTCGTATATGTTCTTGAATATTTTAGGGACACCATAAAGCCAAGATATGAATCATATGTCAGACTTAAATACTTGTCATATGCATAAACCTTGATATTCTGAAGGTCAATAACCACTGAATTAATCATTGTGTAGAGTTCTATTCAACTATTCCTATTCACGTACTCCAAATACATTATTTGGACATATGTCGCCATAAGTCATCTTGCAAAACTAGCTAATGGCATGAAACATTAAGAAGCTAAAGGAAATGCTTTGCAGTCTGCCTTGTGCATACATGCATGAGACATCATCTTCAGCAATGAATGAATTACACATCAAGCGTGCAATTGGACATTATCCTGCATTAAATAATAATAATCTTGACAGTTCATAGCAGTAGCTTTCATAACCAGCATTTGCAGATCTTAGTGGGAGACTTAACAAAGTCGTTGCTAATGTACTGGAACCTGTCCTGACTCCAGAGATCATTTTATTCAACAGGCTTCCTTGTTAATAACCCTTAAATTTGATATAGGGTCTTTCATGTCAAGTGGCTCCCAAAGCGCTTCACAGGATATAGTGTAAAGTGTAGTAACCATTTGGTTCCCACAGGAGAAAAATTCCCACTCCTGCAGAATGGCAATTTCCCTCCTGTAGTAACCAAAGAATCCACTACTTTTGTTGGGGGAGAATGTTTGTAGATATTGGATGAGGGTATAATTGGCTCAATGTGCTGCATGATTAAATATTTCACCAACACTCCACCAGTAATAATTGTTTAGGGTCACACATGAAATAACTATTGGGCACTCAAAACAGAAAAGCTTCTGGTATCTGTGCCTGTGGAATATACTTCAGCAAAGCAGCACCTTTAGTTCAGGATAAAAAAGAGGAACAGAATAGTACTGGTTTTTGTGTCAGTCTGGCTCAATTGGTAGAGTCAGAAGGTTGTTGGTCAGGACTTTGAACTCGCAGTCTATGCTGACACTCCATTTCAGTGCAGAGGGTTTGTTTCATTGTCGGAAGTGCCGTTCTTTGGATGAAACATAAAACCAAGGTCCCATCTGCTTGTTGAGGTGGACGTTAAAGAGCCCATGGAACTATTTGAAAAGAGAAGGGGATTTCTCCCAGTGTCCTGGCCAACAATCCCCCAAATAAAATTGCTCACTGACTTAATAGCTGTTTGTAGGACAGTACTACAGTCACTACACTTTGCAGTATATCCTATTAAGTGATTTGAAACATCCTCCTGACATGAAAGGGAGTGAATCAGATGTTAAGATTATTCATTTTCTTATTATCAAAGTTTCTACTCTACTTCTGGAGGCCTCACCTTAGTTACAGTTCTGTGCTCCATCGTCATGTCACAAATTATGAGATTTATGACTGCTTTCAAATACTTTAACATATAAAAACTAAGCACATTTCTTTGCAGAATTAAAATCAAAGCTAATGGGAGATGCGGCAAAATATCCTGGTTCCCCCTAACATTATAGTGAAGAACATAATCACGTCTGATTGTTGCAGCCATGATCTTTTTATAGAGATACAGAGGCACCTCTAACTGGAGGCAACAGGCAATCTGACTCCCAACAGAGTTCTCCCAGATGTGTTGACAGGAAAACAGGTTGGTTTTCATTGCAAGTCGTCATGAACATCAGAGACGGGCTTACCTTGTGAGGCCAACTTGTAATATATAAAAGCACCGTTATATCAGGAGTGAAAGAGATATGTTTGAGATTAATTGCTCATACATCTTGAAAACAATAACAAGTTTATCAAAATGTATAATTTGAATTGATAAAGCAACCTTCACCCAAGGGCAGTGTTGGAGGTGTGCTGCAATGTCGGAGGTGTGTCCTTCAGATGAAACTTTAAACCAAGGTCCTGACTGCCTGTTCAGGTGGACCCTAAATATTCCATGGCACTATTGTCCTTGCCAATAATCCTCCAAATAAAATTTGTCGTTCTCTTCATGGCAGTCTGTGGATCATTGCTGTGTGCAAATGGACTGCTGTTTTCTGTTTACAAATACAGTCAGTTTACTTCACAGTAAATCCTGTGAAGTGCTTTCAGACGTTCTCATGATGTGAAAAGTGCTATACCAAATGCAAGGATTATTATTATTGGCTGAATTCACATCCAAAACTGCATTTCTGTAACACAAAGGACTAAGGTTATTAAACACTACAATTTTACAGAGTGTAAAAAACATTAATACTCTGAATTAATCTGTTCCTGCAATAATTTGGGAATATTGTCTTTTGTGCTTATTTCAGTATTATCTTGGTGTTGGTTTTAGAATCTTAATCAATATTGTTTTACGATTGATTTGAATTTATTGTGTTCCATTGATAATCTTTTCCTAGGGGGATTAGCAACATACCATAAAGACGGTCTTAATCCAGTGGTATCTATCTACAGGTTAATGAATCACCCCAGTCCTTGCTCCACTGGTTCCCTATTTCCAAACAGATTGATTTCAAGATCCTCACATTTGCTTACAAATCAGTCCATGTCCTAGCACCTCCCAACATCTGCGACCTGCTCACAATCCACCCGGCTATTCACCCCTTTCACTCCACTGGTTCTGGCCATCTACATGTCTCTCATCCTTCAACTCCACCATTGGCAGCCCTGCTTTCAACCACTGTCCCTCAAATCTTTGGAACTCTCTGCCTCAATTCCTTTGTACTGCCCTCTAATAGACCATTTTCCTCTTTGTCAATGACTATGGTTATTGCGACATCGTCACCTAACCTGTAAATAGTTGCTACTGGGTAGCTACTGCAGTCGCTACTGTGCTGTCATCAGCAGTGCCTTGGAGTTCCTCTGTAGTCTGAAAGGAATAGAGTATAAGAGTAGGGAAGTCTTCCTGCAAATGTATAGGGCCCTGGTGAGACCACCCTGAAATACTGTGTGCAGTTTTGGTCTCCTTATTTAAGGAAGGATGTACTTGCCTTGGAGGGGGTGCAGCGTAGATTTACTAGGTCAATGCCAAGGATGAAGGGGATGAGTTATAGGCTGACCAATTTGGGCCTATATTCTCTAGAATATAGAAGAATTAGAGGGGATCTTATAGAAACCTATAAGATCATCATGATAGAGTAGATAGTGGGAGATTGTTCCCCTGGTTGGAGAAACTAAAACCAGGGGTCACAACCTTAAAATCAGAGGCCAGCCCTTTTGTACTGAGTTGAGGAAGAACTTCTTCACTCAAAGGGTGGTGAGTGTATGGAACTCACTACCCCAAAGGGCTGTTGATGGTCAGTCCATGAACATATTCAAGACTATTTCTATTGCAAAAGGGATTAAGGGATATGGGGATAAAGCAGGGTTATGTTATTAGCTGGAGTTAGATTAGAAGATCAGCCATGATTGAATGGTGGGGCCAGGCTTGAAGGGCCGAATGGCCTACATGTTATGTTATGTTAGTCTTTCCATGGTTTGTGATTTACTTTTGTACACATTGCTGCATACTTGGATAATCAAGTCAACTACCTACTATCAAATCT